AAAGAAATTTACAAAAAAAAAAAAAAATGCAGACAGCAAATTAAGTGCTGCTGTGCAAGAGCCAGTGATCTATACAGTGATCACTGGCAGGATAGAGGTTAATGGCTGAGCATTTGGGCCTCACAATTTTACAAATCCCCACCTAAAACTACCTAAATCTGTCTACCTAAACACAGATCTCTCTCTCTCTCACTAAAACACAAGTGAAGAGAGGGAGATCCAAATATTTACGAATATTGACCTGACCAGACAAATGGGGATTATAGAAATAATAAATATTATTATAGGGGCAAGCTCTGGTTGGATGACCCTAGCCTGCCTCTATTATGAGGCAGGCTAGGGACACCCCCAGAAGACCCATGATGCGCTGCCTCTAGAAAGGCATCATCATATTGTTAGCCACATGGCTGGGGGGTGGGGGGGAGATTAATACATTTATTTTATCTGTTTTTTTAAAATTGATTTTATTTATCTTGTTGACTTTATCGAGGCACTCAGCACACAGGAAGAGCATCGGAAGCCTGCCCGATGGCTTCCTATGCTCTGCTACACAGCTGGGTGCCACGTGAGGCAACCTGGAAGTGATTGCTCCTTGGGAGCGATCACTTGGCGGCCAGGAGAGGTATTGCAGGATGCCTTCACATCAAGGCATCGCTGCAATACCCTTAGAGCGGCTGGATCCAGCACTCATATTTGCAGCGGACGTACTAGGCACATCCGCAGTCCTTAAGGACTGTTTTTTGTCGGACGTTCCTAGTACGTCCGTGTTCCTTAAAGGGTTAAAGGGAATGCTCCTAATCTCAGCTCGTTACCTGTATAAAGAGACACCTGTCCACAGAAGCAATCAATCAGATTCCAAACTCTCCACCATGACCAAGACCAAAGAGCTGTCCAAGGATGTCAGGGACAAGATTGTAGACCTACACTAGGCTGGAATGGGCTATAAGACCATCGCCAAGCAGCTTGGTGAGAAAGTGACAACAGTTGGTGCGATTATTTGCACATGGAAGAAACACAAAATAACGGTCAGTCTCCCTCAGTCTGGTGCTCCATGCAAGATCTCGCCTTGTGGAGTTTCAATGATCATGAGAACGGTGAGGAATCAGCCCAGAACCACACGGGAGGATCTTGTTTACTGATCCCATGGCAGCTGGGACCATAGTCACAAGAAAACAATTGGTAACACACTAAACCGTGAAGGACTGAAATTCTGCAGCGCCGGAGGGTCCCCCTGCTCAAGAAAGCACATGTACAGACCCGTCTGAAGTTTGCCAATGAACATCTGAATGATTCAGAGGAAAACTGGATGAAAGTGTTGTGGTCAGATGAGACCAAAATCAAGCTCTTTGGCCTCAACTCGCTGTGTTTGGAGGAGGAGGAATGCTGCTTATGACCCCAAGAACATCATCCCCAGCTTCAAATATGGAGGTGGAAACATTATGCTTTGGGGGTGTAATTCTGCTAAGGGGACAGGACAACTGCACCACATCAAAGGGACGATGGACAGGGCCATGAACAGTCAAATCTTGGGTAAGAACCTCCTTCCCTCAGCCAGAGCATTGAAAATGGGTCGTGGATGGGTATTCCAACATGACAATGACCCAAAACACACAGTAAAGGCAACAAAGGAGTGGCTCAATAAGAATCACATTAAGGTCCTGGAGTAGCCTAGCCAGTCTCCAGACCCTAATCCCATAAAAAAATCTGTGGAGGGAGCTGAAGGTTTGACCTTAATGACTTGGAGAGGTTCTGCAAATAGGAGTGGGACAAAATCCCTTCTGAGATGTGTGCAACTACAAGAAACGTCTGACCTCTGTGATTGTCAACAAGGGTTTTGCCACCAAGTACTAAGTCGAAGGGGTCAAATACTTAGTTCACTCATTGACCTACAAATCAATTTATAACTTTTGTAATATGCGTTTTTCTGGATTTTCTTTTTGTTATTCTGTCTCTCACTGTTAAAATACACCTAGAATTAAAATTATAGACTGACCATTTCTTTGTTAGTGGGAAAACGTTGAAAGGGGATCAAATACTTTTTTCCCTCACTGTAAGCTGTTTTTGTGACTAAAGAGGACATAAAGATGGCCAGTCTATACAGTAAGGATAAGCTCTCTTCTTCACCCTGTTGTGCCTCCTCCTCCAACCAACTTGACCGCCACAAACTTTGCAACTCACTTCACTGAGAAGATTGCTACAACCAGGAAAGAGATCTCTCATCTCTCTCAATACCCTCCCAACTTTTCCCCTAACCACACTCCCTCAGTTGCCCTATGCTCATTCTGCTCTTTTCCATACCTCCTGCCCCACTACATGTTCCCTCGATCCTATTACCTCATATCTCATTCGCACTTTGTCTCCTTCTCTTGCTCTCCCTCTCCTCTGGCACATTTCTTCTACACTTCAAACATGTAAACATTACCCCGATTCTAAAAAAAGCCCAACCTTGACCCTAATTCCCTATCCAACTACCGACCTATCGCACTACTGCAGTTTGCCTCCAAAATCCTTGAGAGAGTTGTGTATGCAAGATTGACAGACTCCCTCGAATTTAACTCTGCTTGACCCGCTTCAATCTGGAGTTCGCTCTTGTCACTCTGTTGAAGCAGCTGTGATCAAAGTATCCAATGATCTTATCACTGCAAAATCCCACGGGCACCACTCTATCCTAATTCTCCTCAACCTTTCTGCTGCTTTTGCACTGTTGATCATCAACAGCTTCTTCTCATACTCCATAATCTTGGTCTACGAGATACCGTTCTCTCCTAGTGCTCTTCCTACCTCTCCCAATGTTCTTTCAGTGGCTCTGCCTCTTCTCTCCAATCCCTCTTTGTTGGTGTTCCCTAAGGGTCTGTCCTTGGCCTCCTATTGTTCTCAATCTACACTGCCTCCCTTGGTAAACTCATCAGCTCCTTCGGCTTCCAGTATCATTTCTATGCGAGTGGCACCCAAATCTACCTGTCCTCTCCTGATCTCTCCCCGTCCCTCTTGACTCGTGTCTATGATTGCCTCTCTGCTATTTCCAACTGGAAGGTTGATCACTTTCTTAAACTTAACCTGTCCAAAACAGAACTTCTGGTCTTCCCTCCCTCAAGTGTTGCTACTCCCTTGTCTGTTTACCTCAAGTCAATGGCGCTACTATCCGCTCCACCCCGCAGGCTCGCTGCCTAGGTGTTTTCTTTGACTCCAACCTCTCCTTTACCCCTCATGTCCAATCAATCACCAAATCATGCCACTTCCATCTGAAAAGCATTGCGCGCATCCGACCCTATTTAACACCTGATACGCCAAAGGTGCTTGTCCATCTCGCTGTCCTCTCTTGCCTTGACTACTGTAATCCAAATCTCAGTGGTCTTACATGTTCCCAACCTGCCCCGTGACAGTCTATAATAATTGCGGCAGCAAATCTCATCTTCTGTCCTCCCGCACCTCCCCCCTCTGTCAGTCCCTACATTGGCTACCCATAAGATATGACTCGATTTAAGAAACTGATACTTTCTTACAAATCTCTACACAATGCTGCTTCAACCTATTTATTTTCACTAATACACAAATATGTCCCTTCTAGGCACCTACACTCTGCCGGAGACCTACGTCCAACCTCTGTTCGTACTCCTATCTCTGATGCTCGCCTTAAAGACTTCTCTAGGGCTGCACCGTTCCTATGGAATGCCCTTCCCCTCTCTGTTAGACTTTCACCCAGTATCCACTCCTTCAAAAAATCTTTGAAAACACACTTCTTTAGGAAAGCGTATCAATTAAACTGTGAACAGCGTTCTCTCCCGTACCCCGATTCCTCTCCTGCAACTGTTATTAAAACACTTAGCCCTCGGTTTTTTTAAATCGTTAAGCAATACATAATTTTATTATAGTATATAGACATCATTAGGCATTTCTTGATTCTGGAGGATGTACACACATTCAAATATTATAAACAGTAAAGCAATGCTAAAATCAAGTGCCTGCAATGTGTCTGCTTTTCAAATCTATAACAGATGTATCACACGTACTATACAGTCTGGGGGGGGGGAAGCAAAAAGGTGTGACGCAAAAAGAACGACTTCACAAAATCACACATTACCACTTTACAGGTAATAGCTGCTGTAATGTCCTTCACCAAATAAAATGCTATTGACTGAAAATTACAGAGAGAAAAGGGTAATTTTTTATATACTGACTTTAGAAAAAAAATAACACCGGAACATTCATTTTAGTATATTTTGTTGAAGACATTTACATTGAAGAATAGTTATAAGGACAAAGGGTCACAATCCAGCTTAGATTCATCTACAGAACGGCTAAAATGAAATGCTTCAAATGCTCACATCTACAGGAATTGCCATTAAAGATAAATGTCAGGGCAGTGGCTTGATACATTAAAAATGCTGGAATTAAAAAAAAAAAAAAAAGACTTTAGAGGGTAAAGGAAACACTTGGAGGAAGAAAAAAAAAAAAAGAATTCAAAGTGTAATGAATTCCTACGCTTACAATATATCTATATTAAAGTTAAAGGAACTCTATAGGGTCAGGAACACATATGTATACCTAACCCTATAGTATTAAAAACACCATCTAGTCCTCCCATGTCCCCTTAAATATAGGAAAATCTTACCTTTCATTTAATTTCAGTCTGCTGCTGCTGGCTCCACCCTCATCTGCCTTCTTGGCTGGCATCATCAGAAGTGGTGATCTCAGCCAATCACAATGTTTTCACATAGGACAGCATTGGTTTGGCTGATATTGTCAATGAGGCAGATCAGAGCCAGCACAAGCCAAACACAGCCCTGACCAATCAGCATTTCTAGTGTCTCCGTGCAGAGGGTGGAGACACTGAATGTTTGTGCACAGTGTGCAGCACTGCCCCCAAGAAGCACCTTTAGTAGCCATCTGAGGACTGGCCACTGGAAGTGCCCCTAGGTTGTAATGTAAACACGCCTTTTCTATGAAAATAGTGTTTGCTGCAAAAAGCCTGAAGGGACTAATTATACTCACCAGAACAAATACAATAAGCTGTAGTTGTTCTGGTGACTATAGTGTCCCTTTAAAGTTACGAATAACTAAACAGTTACTTAAAGGGAGACAATAGTCACCAGAACAACTACAGCTTATTCAATGTGTTCTGGTGAGTAGAATCATTACCTTTTTTGCTGTAAGCACGGTCTTTTCAGAGAAAATGCAGTGTTTACATTACAGCCTAGTGATAACTTCACTGGCCACTCCTCAGATGGCTGTTAGAGATCCTTCCTGGGTCATGGCTGCCTAAAATGCATCCAAACATTCAGTATCTCCTCCCTCTGCATGCAGACACTGAACTTTCCTCATAGAGATTCATTGATTCAATTCATCTCTATGAGGAGATGCTGATTGGCCAGGGCTGTGTTTGACTCATGCTGGCTCTGCCCCTGATCTGCCTCTTTGTCAGTCTCAGCCAATCCTATGGGGAAGCACTGTGATTGGATCAGGCTACCACTTCTGATGATGTCAGCAGACTGCTTGTTTTTCTGAGTCTAACAGCATGCAGAGTTACAGCTTCAGGCTTGAATACAGTAAGATTTTTACTATATTTATGGAGGCATGAGGGGCCCAGGGGGGCTAGATGGTGGTTTTAACACTACAGGGTCAGGAATACATGTTTGTGTTCCTGACCCTATAGAGATCCTTTAGATACCTAAAAAATAAAACAATAGATGGTGTTATTCTGTTTCGAGTCAGTTTGCACAGTTCTATGAAGGAATGTAGAAGATCTTTGCTTACTCATATGAAATGGCCTTCATTTTTCAGAACAAGAACAAACTGACGAGGTCCAGAAATTCTTTGTTTCAGGCTTTCTAGAATCCACAATTGAGGATCCTACAGATACTCCTTTAGTCTAATGAAGTACAGTTTTATTGCTCGTTTATATATAATTATAAAAGGGTTTACTAATTATTAATTACCCTTATTTAAATGATTAACTTGGATTAGCAAGCACAACGTGCCATTGGAACACAAAACAGACGGTTGCTGATAATAAGCCTAGGTAGATATTCCATTATATATTTTTTATTTTATTTAAATCAACCGTTTAAGGCTACTATAGTCATTTACAATATTAACAATGTTTACTTGATGTTATTTCAATGTACGAAAAATAACCCACTTACGTAGGAAATCCTTCCACCTAAAGCTCTGCAGTGCAAAGTTAAGTGGGCCCTGGAATGAGGGGTGAGGATGAGGGGTGCAAAACCACAGGAGTTGGCCTGGGCTCCCAAATATATTTACATATGAAACCAAGAGGGCTGCACTCACATAAACAAGCATACATATATTTCAATACCTTTGATTTGTCATTGTCTATGTCAGGTACCTCTATGGAATAAACCATTGCATTACACTAACATGCAAATTTTAAGAATAAATAGGGGCACCAATTTCAAACAAATACATCTCATATCATATCATTAGAAGAGATGAAACTTTTTTTTGTATTTTGGATCATGATCTTAAAATTGATTTATCTCCGTAAACTAAAAAAGAATAACTAAAAAGTCAATTTCTTGATATAGAGAAAAGTAATTATTTACTCAGAACTACTATGTAAGCAATACAAGAGTGACAATTATATAAACCTTGCTATAAAACACAAACTACAGTCCTAACAGTCTACTTAAGACCCACTAATAGAAGCCATAAAATTCTATAATGTCTCAAACAGGCAGACGATATTGCATCTCCAGTAGAGAATATATTAAACTGCTATCACTATATCTAAGGCATTAAGACATCATGACAAATACATTTTGGAACATTACATGCAACATCTTCATAACTGATTTGGCACGTCTGTGATAGGAATAATTCTGAATCCAGCAAATAAAAGTATTTTTTTTTTTTATCAAATGTTCTCTATGTTTATATGTTTTGATTATTAGAATTTGAATCAGGCCTTATATTTTTTTTATTTTTTTTTAAAAGCACAAGATTGCAGATTTCAAAATTACAGCCCGTAGCATTTTAAGCTACTTGTGGGTGTATCCATAAAGGTTATATTTAACCTGCTGTGCTCCCAAACAAAGCCTCAACATCCTACATGAGGTTAGAGTTCCATGTGTATACCTTTGTGCACGGGGAGGTTAGTGGGTGAATACACTGCTGTTACGATATACACCACTCTGATGACAGTATGTACATATGAATGCGGCACTACTGTGTACATGCTATTATTCACATCGTGTTTTTTGGTATTTTGTAACACACAATATTATTATAACCCAAAAAACATCAACATATGGATTTTTATTTTGTTAGACAGAAAAGATCTATCGCCTGTGAAGAATTCTCTTCCTATTGCGATCAGTCCTGGGGTGCACAGCTTCAAAAGAACAGCAGAGTGCACCACCATTAAAGCCTTTGAAAACATACTATCCATATACACATTTATTTTTATGGTGTCTTTCGCATAAAATACAAATGCAAAATAATGTATGCATTCCTCAATTAGCAAAAGCTAAAGTGAGGCTTCCAATTTTCTGACAATGCAGGGTTTCATTAAAAAAAAATAAAAAAAAAATTTAAATGGAAAAGCCATGTGACGGCTTTTCTTCACCTGTAAATCTATGCACTTAAATAGCGCACCATAGCGGAGGATTTATTTAATAGAAAATGCTGAATTATATTGCATGACAATAGAGAATTCAGGTATCTATTGTTTTCACAACATCTACACACTATTCAGCCTTTTTGTCAGCATTTTCTATCATTTGAATCAATGGCTCCTTGTGGCTCCTCTCCATGGATTTATTCATACATTTCTCATTGTTTCTCAAAACACTGCATGCAATACAAGGTCTAAACAAACAGAAGAACAATATTAAAAGAAAACTTAAAGGGGCAACTTCGGCATATAACCACTAGAGCTCAGTACGGTGGTTTTGCAGCTATGAGTCTTTGGGTGCCATTGTGTTTTCCTGTAAAATCATTTCGAGTCTCACTTGGCAATATATTACAGACAGTATCTATTTAAGGCTGATGTCCGCTGTCAAAGGTGTGTGTCTGCATTATACAAGATTTGTGACATACATGGATAGCGTGATGAAAAGGGAAAAAAAAAAAAGGAAGGCTTGGATATTTGGATATTGCTGTGTACTGAGGACTGAGTGTCTATTACCCTAACTTTGACAGAAATCTGTAAAATGTCAACACCAGCAGAGTAAAAATATCCAACGATTCGGTGAACTTACAGAATCAAATTACAGCCAAGCTCATTTCCGTTTGCACAAAGGACATTTATTTTCTGGGTCGCTGCTTTCTAATGCATTTGCGTGATATCTGACAGCTAGAGCAGTTTGTTGTGAATTCAATTTTCCACGATGCTTAGCCAGCCAAAGCACAGCTTGAGCATCATGGGAATTGTAGTCTAAAGCAATTACAATATGAAATAATAGTGGTTATATTCCTGTATACCTGTGCAGACAAACTATCATTTTCCCTAGTCATCAAAAACATAATAGGACTTCCTAATTGGATTTCATTATTGCATCTGTTGTCTATAGAAGGAAAGGCAAAATATGGAAAAACACATTTTGGCTAATGCACTTTCTCCCTGAGCTCTTAATGTAATGATCATTCCGTAGAAATCACAGCAATTATAAAACCATTTATCATTTATAGTCTAAAAGGCAAGACGACAAAAAAAAAAATAGGCAGTTTTAAAAGCCTGTTGCACAAACTTTGTTCTCTCTAAATCAGAACAGGGGCAAGTGAACAGATACGCCACAAAGCTGCCCTCCACCTTTGTATGTAGAAAAATATGCTTCCTGTTGTGTATACATAGAAAATATTGTTACCACTAATCGAGAGTTTAATAGAATTTCACCCAAACAGAACTACCCTATTGCCCAATAGAATTCTTTTTTTTTTTATGACATTTTACTGCTAGACTAGACAGCATTTTAATGCAAAATAATTGTATAAATGTTGTAATGTATTGTGTTCTTTAAGTTAGCATGAATGCATTTTCATTCACTGTATCTGCTATTTTTTACAGTGTGAAACAAGCAGCTTAGAACTTAACATGAAAATCAAGCAGGTGCAGATATATGATAAACGTTTAAAACACATGTCCTATAATATACGGTTTACGAATTCATTATACTGCTTGATCTTTCATTGATTCATTAAAATAAAAAATAAAAAAGTATAGGGAAAGGGTATTAGTGGGTACTAATTACCAAGACATACATTTATTTATTTATAAGCCTGCAAACACTATGTTTAAACCGTCACTTTAAACAGTATAAAATCCCTCCCATTAAATTATTACAGGACCACTAAAAGCATCTCACATTTCGCCTAAATGAAGTGGTTCGGGTGTAGTGACCCCCCCCTTTTTTTTTTTAACCCCTTAAAGATTGGCATAGAGCAGTGTTTTCCTGCTCATGCACACTAGCCTTCCAATGCTTCCCTATGGAAGATCATCATCAATACAGGACGGGCCCAGCATCACGGAGACAGGTACAGCAAGGACTACACGGCGAGTAAAATACCATTTTATTTATTTTTCTTTTTAAATTGAAAACAGAATACTGGGACTTTAGGAATACATATTGCTACGGTGTTCATTTGAAGTTTTTTTCTTTTTTAAACGCTTTGGCAACAATGCTGAACAACATTTGAACCCATCAAATCTGAAATAGGCATGGGTGGCATATATGAAAGGAAAAAAAAAAAAAGATTCATCTACGGAGGAAAAAAAAAAAAGCACAGGCACCATATGACATAATGTTGCCATAGAATCAAATGCAAATTGTCATTTGCACAACGTTGAAAGGATATGCTTTGTCTGTTTTAGAAACAAACAACAAAATAGGCAGCCAAAAATAAACAAGATAATCACAAACTCTTACAGACTAAACACTCTAAACACCTAATGCACATTACCTGGCTAAAGCTCTTTAAACGGTCTGTCTTTACAGGTGTGTTTTAAAAGAATGTAGATTTCAAGTGAAATTAGCACTTTTATAAAAACACTTGTCTTGCAGCTGAGATGATTTCCTGCATCCTGCAGCAAATGTAAGCTAGCTATTTTATACCCCAGAACTTGTAAACACAAACACAAAATAAAACACATTAACTGA